TGAGTCGGCCTTCGGGTGGGCGGTTGGTAGGTATTTGGGTCGGCCTTCGGGTGGGCGGGTAGGTAGTGCATAGCAATGCACATTGCATTCTGCAGAAACCCACCACTGTTACCCCCACTGCGGATTGACTCCTCAGTTCTGTCTGTTGTCCCCTGCCTGAAGATACTCGGCCTTCGCGTTCAGAGTGATCTACGTTGGAACGAACAGGTCAATCATATGTCTGCAAACGCTGCCAGGAAACTGTTTATTCACAAGCGTCTTAGGAAGTTTAATCTCTCACAAACTGAACTCCTAATCATCTACACTGCATACATCCGTCCACTTAAGGAGTACGCTGCTCCCGTCTGGTCCCCGGGACTATCTAAACAGCCAAGTTGATCAGCTGGAGCGGATACAACGAAGAGCCTGTCGGATCATCATGGGTCCTGCCTATACCGGATATGCAAGCTCACTCGAACATTTGAAACTCACAACGCTAGCCGAAAGGCGTGAGACTCTGTGCCTGAACTTTGCCAGATCACTTATCAAGTCTGAGTTCGAGCATTGGTTGCCGAGTCGCAGATCTAGTATCACAGGCAGAAGTACCAGAAATGCTCAAAAACTTGATATTTCAAAGGCTAAAACACAGAGATACAGAAACTCACCAATACCCTACCTGACTCGATTGTTGAACCAGCATGACTTTTAATCTGTAGCTTTTTTTTAATGTATTATCAATGAGCGAATATTCTCTTACGTATACTGTCACGACCGATTCTTTGTATATATGACGCTCCTCTTTTATTGATATTGTACTATATTTTAATCATGTACTGTATTGTGCTATTGCACTACCTTTTAACCCTATATCGCCAACCATTATATTGTACTTTTATGTAATATTGATCTTAATTCAGTGTACTCCACTGCGACATCAATAAAGCCAATCTGAATCTGAATCTGAATCTGAAGAGCAGGGTGGTCTACCAGTGGGGTGTGGGGAAGAGCAGGGTGGTCTACCAGTGGGGTGTGGGGAAGAGCAGGGTGGTCTACCAGTGGGGTGTGGGGAAGAGCAGGTTGGTCTACCAGTGGGGTGTGGGGAAGAGCAGGGAGGGCTACTTTATCCTTGCCCCACTCGTAGCACACCCCAACTTTCCCGCGACAGGGGTCCGAGGTAGTGCGCCGTAAGAAAAGTACTAGTGACGAAAGGGTTTTGATGGTCCAAGTTTGAGGTGACATTTCTTATAAACTGCCATCAAATATCATTTAACATTAACATGGCTGAAGAGTGTAAGAAATTGTGGTTTTGGGGTGAAAATGTCTTTTGACTACGAACCTTACTTCCGGGTATTCTTGCGCGCCAAGTGTAATCCGCCCGTTTGACCTAGATTTCGATCTGCTTCCTCTGAATTCAAACAACCCACAAAGCGACCAAACTCCCCTGACAAAATTCTCCCGGACCAGTTGTCTGGAAAAGGCTATTATCAGAAAAGTTTTGCAATCAGAATTACAATCATACAACAAGATTCCAAACCTTCTAGAAGTGTTCACAACGAGTACTTACCATTCCAGACATCAAAAGTTAGTTATGATGCGCTCGGATATGTTCACTACCATTCAACGACATGGCATTGACAGTTTCAAATGTCAAGATATTAAGTATAGAAAATAATAAAATACTGGACACAATCGGCAACTGGCCCTTTTATACCAAAAAGTTCGCATTTCAGTTCACTCTATATACATGTAGAAGTATCGATTGTCACTGCTATTGTACGTAAATATAGGCATATGTAAAGAGAAAAAAATCGATTGGCAAGTTCTTTTGATAAGTTTTATTGGATCAAGGAGAAACAATCGTTAAGTATACAGTATGGTCTCAGTATATATACACGGTAACATTTTTATTTGATACCAGGATTACTAGTGTTCTATGCATCTATGTACTGGCTCAATTGTTTGGCGGGGCCTTGTTAAAAAGTATTTTTGGCGTCTTTTAGCATTTCCTATGTCTATATATATTGGATGCCATGTGGTCACTTTGGGTTTTGGATCCTCTGCATTAACATTACATGTTATACAAAAGGAATCAATTCAAGAAATTTAAAAAGAGACGACTAATCGTCCAATGACACATGGGGTCTATTTTTTCTTATTTTCATCTCTTTTGACGCCATTAAAAAGATATTCTATCCGGGTCGTCCGTTAGGTCACTCGGCGCTACCGTCTCCTTCTAGTGTCTGTAAAAAGAGGAAAGCACTATGAGTAACAGGAAAATAGATTCAAATTAAAGGTACTGCTTTATTAGGTGGGCCAGAAATAAAGTATATCATCTGCAGTTACAACTATGATATTTCTGCGAATTTCTTATTTCTTACTTCAAACCTTGAAGCTTCACACATGCTTTAATCTGGGCTTAAAAGTCCTTGTAGTGACGGAGTCTCAAAGGGAAAACGATTAAAACTAACCAGACGTCTTACCTTGATCTGTGAGAATGTTCCCCACGTCCATGTCGTCCATTTCCCGTGTATCCAGCTGTTCGGGCTGTTCATTCAGTTCCTCCAGGAGCGCCCTCGCCTCTTCCATAACCTCCCTCAACTCAGCTGGAAGGACAAACGGAATGACAGCTATGAGACACATGTTACAGATACAATACATCGACTTAGGGTGGTGTTGGCTTCGTGTGTGATGCATAGATTCATTCTTCAGTAACTTAGATACTCTGGTGGTACATCAACTCAGAGCGGCGAAGTTTTTGTATATGATGCAGAAATCCATCCTTCAGTAACATTTAGATACACCGAACAAGCAAAATGAACACGTTGCAGAACATATACATTTCAGGTAAGTCGTTCTTTTCATATAGATTCTACGATCATAGATCACGCAGACTAAATTGTGCACAAAATACCCTCGCAAAATGCCAAAATGTACCATTCACAGTCAAAATTGTGTCTCATTTTAAATTGGCTGAACGTACCATCTGTATCGGCATGGAGTCCGGACCTTCTGCGCCTGCGTCGGCGCCTCCATCCCTCGGAGTCGTCAATCAGCGTTGCCATGACAACGATCATTACCAGCAGCATGCAGACAAACAGCTTCATGGTGGAGCTTCGGCTGATGTGGGGAGGGGAGGAAAATGATTATTCTTGTCTTACTTCGTTTTACTTACTCGCTTCTTTCTGGATACGTCGAGTGTTCATTTTCAAGAACTCATAATCATATACTAGAACTGTTTGGGACACGTATTGATAAGGGATACATTACAACAAACTTACTTATTTTTGGACAGGTAAAAAAGGTTGTAATGACTACACGAACGTGATCCTGGCAGATCGATAAAGAAATTAAAAGGCAAAAAATGTCCAACAGAAAGAGCATAACTTTAACATATTTACATATTTACTCGTGGCTGTCACACACACACAATCATCGCGCGACTAACCCGCTAAATTCCCCCAAACCGAAAAGGTGCGCATGCATATGACACGAAAACATTATCACACAGTTGCTTCGGTGAAAGTCAGATATCTACTAGTTAATGAGATACGCAATGAAAATATTACTCAAGTAACTGGGTACTATAGCTAGTAGATTTTGAAAACTGTTAGACGTTTCAAGTAGCAATCACTACCTAATGGTATACATGCAGCTGAACATGTATCAAAAAAGATTAGTTACCCGCATAGCTACAGATTCTGTTAGTCACTGACGAAAAGTAGTGGATTCTACTTGAAAAGTCTGATAGTTTTCAAAATCTAGTTGGTGAGAAATTGATACTTACAGAAGTCCTGGGTAGGTAGATCACAGAACGATGTCACTTAGAGATCACGGCTGGAGGGATGAATGAAAAAGACTCGCGGGGATGGGAATATATACTCCACCGCACAAGACAATTATGCAAATTTGTAATTATAGATTTTTGGTAGTGACTTAGAGTTCGTTGTCTGTTGATAGTGCCGTGGTGGTTGTCTGCGAAAAGACAACTGTGACAAGAAGATAATCACACATTTGTGAAAGAAACTTGTCTGTCAATGGTAGATGTACGTCATAGATAATAGAAAGAGAAGACAACTTTGAAAATTAGCACACTCACACGGTTTTGAAAGGGACCTGCATGTGAAGGATAGATCACAGTGTGTAAATCAGCCAAATGCAGAAGGTTTGATTAAAGGCATCCAATACAATTTCAGGGCGTCAAAAATACTTATTCTGGATGAGGAAATCTGTCAGACATTGACTGTAATTTCTTATCACACTTTCACCATCGTTTTATACTTAAAGAGTTTGAAATAACTCCCCGAAAGAAGCTACATGGTGAGTCCCTTTATGTTTTGATATCACTATTATATACCTCCTAGAACTAGCCAATTGCAACGAAACAACCTTTCCCTCAACAACATCGCAATGTTAGCTCACAGATATCATTATGCTATGGGATATATAATTGCAGATTTTAACAGTGACTCAGAGGTCGTTGTCTGTTGAAATGGTGCCACATGTATGAGCGGGAAAGACAACTGTGAAAATAAGACAATTTCTAAAAGAGAATTGTCTGCCAATGACAGTCCGCGCGCGTGTGGATGGTGTTCAGCACCAAGGACAGACATGTGTGGATGGTACTGAGCAAAAGGGACATGTAGAATTGCCTTGAGTTACCTCTTAAAATGCAGAAAATCAGAACATCTGACAGAAGTTCTCATGGAATAAAAAAAACGATCAAACACAAAATACACTCCAATGCTGAGAATTCATTTGTATTTCATGCACAAATCCTTAAGTAGTAAATTTCTCTCTTGTGAAAAGTGCCTGAAAATTAGATTTCCTTCCCATTCTAACTAGCAACACACAAGCCATCCCGAAATACATTGTTTTTACACTCGACTGGTCAGGTTTATATCTTCTTGTTGCAACATTGTTGAATATATACATACATGTGTTTCATTTTATGTAAGGCTAGCTGTCTTGCATAATAATATCCTTAACATACGGCATGGAAGACTTCATTTTGTGAGTCAGTTGAGTCTTTACAATGCCACACCAATTTCATTTGAATGTTCTCAGATTCTATACAAAATGATGATGATCCAAGTCTGTACATTTAGTTTTAGGAAGTGTATATAGTCAAAAGGTTAATCTGTGTTGGTAGTTGAATGTTTAAAGTTAAAACTTAAGATCCAACACAAACAAGTTCTCTCACCTAGAGCTTTCGACCAGTCACTCTGGTCTTCCTCAGTAGACTGACCCAGTGAAACTTGTCTATTTGTTTATCTATTTACTGGTCAATAAATAAATATCTGAGAAGAAACAAAACAAAGCGGTGTGGGAAAATCTCATTTTCTACATTAAAGTGAGGTATTTTCAATTGTCATAAATGTACAAAATAAAGAAAGCACAACATGCATCCTGAATTCAGGCACTTAAAAGGGGAAGTGTCACCCTTGTTATCCACTGGCCTCTATTTATGTTTCTGTTAATCTTAGAATATCTGAGAGTAAGATGTTCGATAATATTCAGAGTTGGCAATTTCAAGCTCTATTCAGCTGCACAATTTGGTTCTATCACTTTCCTATGTTTAATATTTCTTGCTCATTTCTACTTTATTTGCCACTGGGGGAATTTCTTCACTATGTTATCCTGAATCATTGTAATATAATAATAGAGCTACATGTACAACAAGTCAATCAACTTGAAGGGCTTATGTAGAAGTTCTGGCTCCTTAATGTGTGTATGAGTAAAGAATGTCTCAAAAGGTGCACCAAGGAGGTTCTTTTTCATAGAACTGCCTCACTCAGTTGCATCAACATTACTTTTTTTGTTTACCTTCGCAGAAGGAAAACATTGTTTTTGCTCTGTTTCTTATTCTTCTCCAGACACATATGGTCAATGACCTGGACCAGATGGCTGTCACCATGGTAACTGGTGCTGTAGCAGACACCCTACGGCATTGGGTTACATTATGTAGCAAGACTGAGTTGGAGTGGCTGGCTTCACCTCATTTGTAGATCAATATGTTTGAGTAAGAATTAACAGATCATTAGTTACCTTCTAGTGTACCATTGGTCTTGACATTTCAACTCATGATCAAGCACGTGTTAGTGCCACACTTTCATTCTTCAAATTTTCCAATCTTTGATCACTTGTCACATTCAATTTATAAATACACTAGGAATTCAGAATTCTATAAGAATTTCACATTGATTATGTCTTCCTTCAACTTATTATGCCTATTTTAGTTACAAGATATAAGGGCACTAAAATAGAGAGGTATACAGCATGTACTCTTTCAAAACTGTTATGAAATTAATATAACTCCATATTCAATCACAACATTGAAACATGGGGATTTTCACTTAGTGCCATTGACATTGGAAAAGTAACTTGCCAAATTAAACACTGGTGTTCTTTGAACTTTGCTGACAGTATGCTTATTCTGTACTTGCCCACATTATATATTTTGAAATCCTGTTGTATAGTTGAGTCAAGTACATGGGAGGGCAGTTTGTGAAGGTAAGAACAGGGCTCGAAATCCCACCTGTAGTTATGTGCAGGTAAAATTGGAGCTGTGCAGTTATTCCTGATCTGATGTCTACCTGCACCCAATCTGCTCTGGTCCGTGTACTGGGTTTGTATACAAATGTAGGTGTGTGGATTTTTATTTGATGTGTTGACTGTCACCACCTATGAAGTACAGTATAAAAGAAATAATGGCAATGATTTCTAAACAGCTTTTAGTATGATTCATACTTCCTAAATTCTGAGTGGTGCAGGTAAAGTTTGCCTGATGCAGGTAATTTTTAATGTTATCTACACTGGGGCAGGTGTGCATAAAAAAAGGATTTCAAGCCCTGGAGAAGCACCTAACTTGTCCTCCCATACAGTCAACACAACCACACAATGTTAAACTGAAATAAACATTTCAAAAGGTTTAAATATGGGTCACTCAGGGGACTGTTTCTTCTTGGCTGGTGGTTGGTAGATGGGCAGGGCAGGGCGGGTGGGTTTCTTGGGTTCCCTGGGTCCTCTCCCGTGGGTCGGGGCTGACTGGGCGCGGTCCGCGGGCGGTCTCCGGCGATCGCTGCTACGGTGGAACTCCAGAGTGGTGTTGATGTCCCCCTGGTACGGCTCGTATTTCTGGTCCCCGCTCAGGGCTGTGCCCGCGGAGGCAGGATCCGAGGAGTCCATCTAGGAGTAGAAGGGAGTTACCCATAGTTATAGAAGATAAACAATAATTACAACATAATTTCTCTGACGAGTTAAATTTGAAACTATATTGACTCTTTAGAGAATTAATCCAGTTGCTTTGTATTAAGTGAGTAATGTAACCTTCATCGATACCCATAGAAGTTGCCGCCTATGCAGTATATGCTCAATACATGTACCAATCTATGGAATCAATACAAATCAGATAGTTCAAGAAAGATGTCTGGAGACATTTTTGAAAGGTAGCTTTCTATTAGCCTGGATGCCATCCATTTTGTAATGGGGTTCCTTACACTTGCTGATCCGAAAACATGTGCAAAATGGATGGCACCCTGGCTAGATTTCTAGTATTCTACTCGACTATGATGATAGTTTTGGTAAGAAAAGAAAGGTTCATTTCAACATTGAAATGAAACCTGAAGAAAAAAAATCTATATGGACCTCCTGACTAAGTCAAGCTCCATTTGAAAAGTCTAAGAATGAGTATATCCTACCACTAGTCAACGTACATGTATGATCCATGCAGCAGACTTGTAATGGTTACAGCACAAGGCAGAAGGGAGGGGGTTAAAATACCTAGGGGCCTGGAGGTTACAGGTCAGTGTCGTCTCTTCCCTTGCTACAGACATGTGGGAGGTAGGAACCATTATCAGTAAGCAGTGTTCTAGCCAGCACACGTCTTCCATCCGAAATTCGACAAAAAGTTTACCCAATTTGTAGCCTTTGGCGGACAAAAATTAGTGTGTAGAGATATAGAAAGAGGATTTCATATCATGATTTTCATGGGGGAGCATGCCGCTGGACCCTCATATGCCTTCAGTGCTAGATATGATGTTATGTCAAAACTAAATTGAGAAATAATTTCAGGCTGGCTAGAAGACTGTCAGCAAGGGTTAGGATTTACAGGTCTCCTTCAGGTGCTTTTTCTTCAATACAGGCATCTTTTTTTTTATTCATTTCCATTATGACTCAGTAGCAAAATTGCACATTAATCCTACAGAGCATACAACAGTTTTTGCCCCAGTGCTTGATATCAACAGTAATGAATGATAAACATAGCACTGGGCTTTGCTACAGTGGGATGCTACTGATGAAGTACAAAGCTAGACGAGGAAGACATTGCACAAAGGTATTGTGATAATGGACCTCAAAAACAATGGAATGGGGAAACTCTAGAGAGCTCATGTCATATGTTGCTCACAGGATGAAACATAGAAAGACTGACTGCAGTCAGAGGCTGTTTCAACAACTCTGAGCTGCACAACACAGTGCATCATAATCATCATCAACGATAAACAATGGTTTACCCACCCAACCTCCACCATGTGTAGGTCTGATGTTGAACATTTCCACCTCTTCGTAGTTGTCGTACTCTGAGAAGAGCACGACGGCTGTACGGCCGTTTGGCGCCACGTCCGTCACCATGGCAGGGTAGAACTGGACGGAGCAGAACACACGCGGGAGTGTGAGAAGGATGGGGAAAATGTGTAGTAGCCCGACTGCTCTTCCTAGTCTATGTTAGGGATTGGTAAAACAACCTCAAAGAGCATGTCGGCATACTGCGTCTGCGGATTTTTCAGTTTTACTTGGATGTTTTGTCAACATCGCATCAGAATTTTGCATGTTGCAAGGGATGCCTTTTCCAACACAACATTTAAAAACTATAGACGGGATGTCATCCTTAAATATGACCTTAAATGAGTTCTGCCAAAGTGCTATGCACAATACATTGAGTTAGTTCACTACCTTAGCTTCAGAATGTATGTAATTACTGCTAGGGACACACCAATTTATTTCCATGGTTCTTGGACATTCAAAAATGAACATTTTATTTAGCAAGAGAACAAGATGAAAACAGAGTGCTGGGAGGAAAAGTTGAATCAGACTTTATTCTTTCCCTGAAACTTTACTACCGTTATGTACCAAGGTAACATTTCTTTCAAGTCAAGCAATGTATTTTTTGAATTCGAGAACCATCAAATTGAATTGGTGTGGCCTGGAGTTCACTGTCGGTCTACCTTGCCATCCTCCCAGTATCTGGCCAGACAGTGGTCGTTTCTTCTCCACTTCCTCTGACTGCCTTCCCCTGCATTTCTTGGCTGGTGTGTCCGTTCATTCCCTCCCTGCCTCTGCCCACCACCACCTCCTCTGTCCTCGTAGCTCCCCTGTCTGTTGTTAGTCCTTCTGCTGTCGTATCTACTCCCCTGGTCCTGGTGCTGCCTGGGATCAGTCCTGTCTCCACGCTGCAGCTGGGAATTGTCCCGCTGGTTTTGATTGAAGTTTTCGTTCAAATTTCGTTCTTGTCTCCTGGGATTCCCGTCCTGCTGCCTCCTGTGGTCTCGGTAAGAGTCATTTTGCCCCCTGAACTCCTGGTTTTCCGTTTTTCCGCCCCTCTGTTCCCTCGTTCCAGGCCTGTTGCCCTGCTCACCACCTCCTCTCCTTGTGTCTCTATAGTTGTCTTGCCGACCGTGAGGTCCGTTACTTCTTACGTCCTCCCTTTGTCGACCAAAGTCATCAAAATTCTGCCTACTACTGTCACCTCTCCTTCCCCTTCCAGCATCCTCCTGGTACCCCCTGTTGTAGCTACTATCACCACCACCCCTACCTCTACCCCCGCCCCCCCGGTCGTGTCTGCCCCCTCTCCCCCGTCCACCCCTTCCCCCCCTGCCACTGTCGTATGGTCTGGAGTCGTTGAAGTGGTGCCCTCCCTCCCTGCTGTGCTGGTCGTACTGCTGCCTGCCGCCAGGCGGGTTTCTCTGGCCCTGGGTGAGAAGGAAAGAAAACGGCCTGCTTTAAACTGGTGTCGGTTAAACAATAGCCCTAACCCTAACCATCCCGTATCGGTTAACAGTCATCAGCATGTATGCCGAGTGAGTGACAACAGCCAGGATTCAAACTCCAAAACTTCTTCAGGGGGGGAAGGAAGGGATCATGAGAATACATACCCATATAACCATGTGAGTAAGATTTGTGAATGTTAAATGATTCAAACCCTTACCCTGTACTCATTGTTCTGGTTCCTGTGCCCGTAGAACTGTGAGTCTCCCACCTCAGGCCAGCCCTGCCCGTCATAGTGGTTCTCTCTCTGGTCTCTCCCACCCTGTGGCCTGTTGTACCGGGGAGGCTGGCTGTTCTGGGCACCGGGGACGGCTTTCGAGTCTACAGTTGCAAATATATGTGACATGGAAAATACATCAGTCCTAACTTATCACACAAGGTTCTAACACATATCATAATAATAATTCGAAGTGCTGCTTTTGAAAATTTGAATACCAGATTTGGACTTTGGCTTTCACAATATTTTGTTTAATGACACTAAATCTTCTCAACTTTTGACAAATGTCATATTGAACTGCGTGTTTTCTAGAGTGGGTATGACATAAATAGAATACTGACCCTGGTGGTTTCTGTCAAACATTTGGAACAGATGCTCTCCCCACTCACCATCTATTTTCAAGTTGTCAATCTTTGACTCCAGGATGAAGTCAAACAGAGTGGCTGGTCCAGACGGCCTGGTACTCACATCCTCCTCATCCTCCTCACCCCGACCTCTCCTCCCACGACCTCGCCCTGAGGACACACGTTCATTCTTCATCAGGTGGGAAGGTGTGCATGTGTGGTAAGGCTTCATGACTTTGAATCTTAAGGTTCTGGGCTCGAATCCCTGACAGGCCCTAGTGTTGTCCCCTTGTCGTATTCCCATCATCAGCTTTTGGGAGTTTTTTTAGATGGAGAAAGCACAAGGAGATTGTTGTAACTATTTCTGAAAGCCTGTTTCTTTCAGTTTGGGCAATGACAATGACAATAGGGGCAATGAATGACAAACATGACAGTTTTAGTTTTTACCTCTGCCCCTGTCGTCCCTCTGTCCCCTGTGTCCTGTGCCTTGCCTGCCGTGACCCTGGCCGGGGCCCTGTCCCTGACTGTTGACCAGTGTGTTGATGGCCTCCTGTACATCCCCGCTGCTCTGCCTCAGACTGCCCACAGCGTCCTGCCTGCTGAAGCCCATCTCCAGTAGCTTCTGTACCGATTTCTCTTCAACCTGAGACGACTGGTCAGGAGGAAACACAGAAATCAAAGAAAGTTATCTCCAGCCAGCACACCAACACAACATTTGAAAACTATAAATACCAAATCTGTCTTCTTTTTGCTTACCAAATTTCTTCGGTTCAGCCTTTCAAGCCCTGGGCAAGCATAATGTACAGTGGACCATGGCTTAATGAGCATGTTGGCAGAACGTACTGTGCCTGCAAGAAGCCGTACAGTAATGTGTATACATGTACATGTATGAAGACAGCTGAACTTTCTAGGACTGAGGAGGAAGCTGACAAACTGTAGGTTCTCTACCGTCCACCTCACAGCAAATCCAGATTTCGTGTAAGCTCAGTATGTTTACTGACAGCCTGGAGCTTGGATCTATCAATACTCTTCAAGACTGAGCAAATTAATAATACATAATCATTAAAACTATTTACAGAGATTATAAGGGGTGTTGCCCTGCAGGAGTGCCTTACCTCGTTGGACAGTTCCCTGTAGACTCCCTGAGCCCTGTTGTCGCCCCTCCTGTCTGCAGGCCCTCCCCACTTCTTCTCCGGGATGGCGGTGGCCGGCAGACTGCCCGTCCCTCCAAACGTCTTCGTCCCCTCCTTCGATTTACTGACCTCCGCGATCACGGCCTTCCTCTGCTCCGAGAACTCGTCTGCTTCTTCAGACTCCGTCTCTTTCTTGGGAAGACTCTTCTTGTACCTTAAGTCTTTCGTTGCCACTGCACCACTGGAGACTCTCTGTGGCAACGGAACAAAACAGTCAGTCAAAATATCCAGAATGATGTTAAAATGAAGTTAAAATTTTTGATCCAACACAAAAAATCCACCTAGAGCTTTCAAACAGTGACTCTGGAAGTAACAAGTGGTTCTTACCTGTCCAAATGGTACAAATGGTGGGGCGCCGCCCTCCACCTTCACGTTGGCTCGTGAGTGATGTGCTAGTTTCTGTGGAAGAACACAGATAGGGACAGAACTGATGATGGGCAAGCTCAATGATCATCAAAAGAAGACTGAATTGCTCCCTTTCACAAAATGTCTGTAAAACGTACTGTACCTCTGCAAACCCAAAATGTCTGTTTAAGGCCATATTCATGTTTTTAAGGATGACATCTTGTCTATGTAGCTTTCAAATGTTGTGTCGGAAAGGATATCGTCTACAATGGGCAAAATTCTGATGCAATGCTGACCAAACATCCAATGAAAAAGGGGATAAATCCAGCAGGTGCAGTAATTTTTGCCAATGTGCTACCTTTGACAGCTTTAGCAGAAATACCTGCACAGCTCCAATTTTACCTGCACTGACCTGCATATGCAGGACCCTGGTAACACTGTCACAAAGATTACAAAAAGTACCCGGTAACCATGTCTAAACCAGTGGTGATATACATGCGATACATGTAGGTTAGAAAACTCACTCTTTGAATATCCCATCTAGAGAAGAGTTTCTCCACCTGCCCCCCCAGGACCTTGACATTGGACCCTTCCAACATCAGGAACCCATTACTGATGGGAATGGAGCCGGTCAACTTCACTTTTGTACCAGGAGGGGTGGACAGGCTGTGGAGTAAAAACAGGCAACATAAGATGACAAGTTTCTTTCAAGAATTCAGAGAATTTGAAAAACTGATTGAAAACTGATTGTGTGATTGTCAGATCATCAATAATAAAGTAATTAGACTAAGGTATAGATGAGATGCAGTGTTCTGGCCAGTCTTTGTGTCATTTTATGGAATTTTGCCGCTCCTGACGGACAAAAATCGACATGTAAAGATATGGAAAGAGATGTCATTAATCTAAGCTTGGTCTACCAACAAAATTTGCCCGTCAAAATACAGGGACGTTTCAGAGGGTCGAGATTACAAATTTTCCGGGGGAGTATGGCCCCAGTATGATATGTTGCGCTCTGAATTTGATATTATTAGTTATGTTAGACAGAAAAAAATTTCAAGCTGGTTAAACTTGAACACTGATGAGATGAGAACCCCCCTCCCCACACACACCTGAGTTGTTGCACCTGTGCCACCTCCAGGCCGATACAGGTGGTGTGACCGTCTGTCATCTGAACCTTCAGCATCCGGGGGGCGTGGCCCGACTCCTCGTTAGCCTTGGGCGCTGACACGTTCCGCACCTTCGTCACTTGGAGAACACATGGACCAATCAGCTGTAAGACAGGTTAGACGGGAATTATTACCATATTTGGACTCAAGGTATATTCCAATGTCTAACAATGATGACCATGCCTTCCTAATTTTCTAGACAAATGACATTTAATGAATGAATTGGAATAAACTATGGTTCAAATCAGGCCCATAAAACTGACAAAGTTGAAAAAAAATTATATGCAGGGAGACCACTAGAACAGACACAGTAGGAATCAAAATAAAGGAAGGCAGATAAATAATAGAAATGAACAGTTATGACACTAAAAGTTGGCCCTTGGCTGGGAACGAACCAAACCAAGTGATAACAGTAATATCTTTTTTCAAACTTCCATGAGTGGTGACAAATGTTTTATTTAGATCATATTTTGGGTGATCAGAGAGCCATGATCTTCCTAGCCCATCTCATTAGCCAGGCAGTGGTCAATACATGTACAGGCAGCCACCCAGGAGAACCCTAGGATAGCAGCTGCACACAGCCAACCACAGAGCATGGAACATGCCACCTGTCCAGAGGGGGCTCTGCGAATGGATTGACTGTTACATCATGTCACCCTGGAAATCAATCTTTTACTAATTTGAATTTTGATATCTTGGCTCATATGAGAAAAACAAAGTTTTCTTCTTGGGAACTTACTTCACTGCTGCCTCCCCTGCTAATGTCCTCAGGCAGAAACTTTTCTCCTATGGATTTCAGGTCCTCCTGGAATGACAAAAACAACCTGAAGTTGACACAAAAGTTCATGCTTGGAAAAAGAAAGCTCTTTCCTACACTTCACATGGCAAACCTGTACTCACAAACAGTAAAACTAATGGTTGTAATCTGATATCATCAAGTACGAGTACTGGTAAGTCTTACTCATCAGAGACATCAACCTAAAAAGTCAACTTGGTTTCTGTTATGGTGAACTGTACAAAAGGGATCTTGCATGAGACTTGTAAAACTCCATCGCAATGCTGTCATGCATGTAGCTACTGGTACAATAACTGGCATTTTGATGAAGCTATATCCTCAGCTGAGGCAAAGTATGATGCTTTTTCTCAGTAGCAAATACTATGTAATTAGTAACAGTAACACTGCTACTTTGCTACAGCTCTCATTTTCAGCCAAGCACACTGGGTCATTTTCAGCCAAGCACACTATTCTTCTCAACAAGTTCTTTGGGTTCTGTATACTAGTACTACAGAGGTTTGGGACATACAAGGGACAACTGGCTTAATCTCCTAATTTTATCTGAAAGGAAAATACAACATCCCACAAGCAGCAACTACTAGTAAGCATTTAAATACTATAGATGAAAGTGATACATATGTACTCACATCCAGAGCTTTCCTAACAATACCATCTATTGTAGTGATGTTATTCTCTTGCTTTAGTGTTGCAATCCCCTCAGCTGACAGGTGCCTGCAATAAAAATGTTAACATTTTTTTACTGCTACTAGTGCTAGTAAGTTTACTACATTTTCTTACTATACTAGAACTGTGTACCTAAACACTTTAACCCATGCACAGGTACATGGATTAAGGTTAAGACCTGTACCTGTAATCTCTAAGCAGATGTTTTGGTAGCCACTAAGACAATATCAAATTGGCCAGGCAGTATCCATTTGCCAGACAGTATCCATTGGCCTCATTACTGTACCTGTACCTCATCAAATTTGGCCAGTCATCTGTGAGTTATACATATAGCAAACTGTTTTTAGTGGTGAATTATTGTCAATGTACTATGATAGTATGAGGGATTACTTTAATTTAAATCTAAAAACAAGAATACTGTACATGCAAGTTTTCCTGATTTCCAAGTGATTACATTTTGACAAAATTGTCATCTTTGAGATACAATTTACCAATTTCTTTTTTGGATGAGTCTATTCAATGGATATCCCTGTCAATTTTATTTTGATGTTGACATTTTTTTTCTGCTATTGACAGGCTAAGAAAAAAATTCTGACAATGTATTTTGTACTGACTAATATCCTACATTTATCCAGACTAAATTCTTATTGTGCTGCCTGTCAATAAGAATTATTTTTTCCATGTACTATAATTTGACCGGGAACAGCCTTTAGCCAAAATTATGATGTTTGTCAAAAATTTTCTGTTCCTGTTGGAGTTAAAGACAATACATTAAAAACATCATAATCTTAATCTTAGCCTGATAGATTCTAGGTGTTGGTGGACTCCTGGTTTTTCGACTTCATATAACATCCGTGTCCATAATATCACCAGGGTCCATAATATCGCCACCTTGAGAAATAGTGCGCTTTAAGATATTTTTACTGCAACATACTTTTGGTATGCACTCCTGCACAGTCCTCAAATGTACATACCTAGGGTATGTTGCAGTAAAAATATCTTAAAGCACACTTTTTCTCAAGGTGACGATATTATGGACCCTGGTGATATTATGGACACGGATGTTAATAATTTATAATAAGAAAAAAATTTCGGGAGGGGGGGGCGCAAATTTATATCACTTATTATTATTTTTACCACAGCACTGGAGAAATGTGACAACAACTTCGATAAAAAGTACAAATATAATTTTTGCATAACAGACGTTAGCTTGGTACTTTACAAAGTTTACATTTAGGTAAAAGGCAACACATGTATCGGAATCCTTCGAGTATAGATTTTGGTTTCGAAGCAGACGGTGGGGAGGGGGGCGTCTATCCGTGGTGGTTCGGTGCCAAGAAAAAGACCTGGCGATTACTACAAAGAGCATACATATGTTGTATGGGTTCTATGCTTCGTCTTACAACTAACTACTGTGTTATATAGAGCGAAGGTGAGGTGAAACAGGCGACATACCAGCCTTGCTTCCACAAAACTGCCGCTTCGGCAGCCATCTTGCCGCGGGATCCTGACGCTCTGTAACAGCCGCTCTCATTGGTTCAACCGATATTGGTACTAAAACTTCGAAATGTTAATAATGTTTGTCAATTTTTGTCATGTGCATTCAATTTATATTTTCTCGACTGTCATGTTGTTGCTAGGAATATAACAAAACGTTACAAAGTTTCCATTTAATTTGAATTGAGGAGTAATTATGATTTTTATGAATGATTGTAAGGTGCGCTCTGGTTGGCCAAGGTGGAAGTGCCTAAAGACGAAACAAAAATGGCGGACAACGATCGGACGTGGAAAGTCTCTATTAACTTTTTGGGCCTTGTTGACTTCAAGGACGGCAATTTCCGACGTTAAACACCGCAGGACGGATATATAAAGCCTTGCAGGTTGCGAGGGACTGGCGGGAGCCGGAGGTTTTTGAATTCGCGTGGGACTTTTTAGCTCGAGTTTAGCAAGATGAGTTCGAAGGACAAGAACAAGCACACCTTCGTAAGTAACTAGAGTCCGTACTTCGTGTTGCCATTTATATTTTACGATGTGTGTTCAGACCACTTAGTCAAGGCTTTACTACACTAAAGGAGACACATACGAGTTCTACTAGGTGACCGTAAGAAATTCCAGAGTATTTGTTAGAGATTTTGGGCGTGTGTCCTTTTAACCAGTTCAAACGTTACAGGAAGTGGTGTTTTCACTTTTCAACTCTGTGTGTGTGTGGTGATAAGTGGGGAGGGTGGATTTTCAGGGTGTGCCCAACACTACTTACACCATTTTCCCCACCCATGACTTGTTTGACAACGCAGGGAAAGAGTTTCTGTAGCCCAGCAGGTGACTCATAACGCAATCTGGACAGTTTGGCCGAGGGGAATTGGGTTACAAATGGGGGATAAATCAGATGAAATGTGGGTAGATTGGATAAGTACGATGCGAGTAGGATCGGTTGTCGACCCTCCCCCCAGCGCACTGTATCACCCAGCTGTAAACTAACACCACCAGTTTGGCGTCTATATTTGTCCTGAAAACGTTATCTCAAGTTCTTGTGATGAAGACAGCCTAGAATTTGATAAGCAAGGTCGATAAATTTCTGGTTTGAAAGCTACTTGTCTGTTATGAAGGTTTTAAAAAAAATACTATGAGTCATACCAAAACACTAGACCCTTGCTGTGTGTAGGTGTGAAACCCACAAGTTTTAGTGATTACTAATGTAAACAAACAGGTCTGGGTGGACCATATTTGTGCCAAACTCACAGTTCTCTTTTAGGTCCTGAAACCATCCTGCTAGATTGGCATCCGCTTATGACAATAAATACACACTGCCATGAATTATTTTTGGTTCCATCCGATACTTGTAAGCAATTTTGGTAGCTCCTGTTGAAATTCAGTAGCCACTGTTACAGAACATAGCACCCCAGACGAAAATTGTTTTATGCCATTGATTACATAATATTTTGAAATTGATTGCAACAAAATTGGGGGGAGTGTCAGTCATATGGAAAAACAGCAGCCAGCAACAAACAGTACATCATAATGAAAACTAAATTTCAATATCATTATAAAAATGTCACAGACTGAGTCAGCAATACATTAACGTAAGAAGCCATGCAGGGTGAATAAAATTGCCTGTTAGTAAAATAAAAAGTACCATGACTATCAGATTATATTTACAGCCTTCCCTCTGAGACAAGTTTTGCCTGGACCTCAGAGATAAATCATTGTTTACACAAGGTCTCCTGAGGTTTCCTCCAGGGCAGGGTTTGTGTATATCATGTCACTACCTTCTGCTGATGATTAATGGACAAGCAGAGCTTTCCTATCGATTCTGCTAGAAGCATTACAGTAGAAAATTGTAAAAGAACCTTGTGTTGATGTTTTACTACACAGGTCAGGTAGACCACAGAGTATATATATTTTTTTACTTGAACCTCTATTTAATAATGAGAAACTCAAATAAGCCTGCAAGATGCTTTTCATGAAGGTTAAGAGGGAAGAGGTAAGGGTCAGTTGAAACATAAAACAAAGATCATCAGTTTAAGTTATAATGAAAATCTATACATATATTTTACGCATACTAGTACATGGTACAAAATTGGTATATGGTTGATGTCCAATTGTTTTGGTCATTTCTGATTTGAGTTGTGGCTATGCATGTGTCTATTGGCAGACTGTTCCAAACAATGGGTCCACAATAGCGTATAGATGTTCTGAATCTCACTTGCTGAGGTTTTGGGATGTCCATGATGCCTTATACTTCTCTCTAACTTTTGAACATTGGGAAAGTTAATCCATGGTGGGACAACTCACACCCACACTGTAACTGTGTGTGTGCACCAACTAAAAATAGTCGTTGCATCATCGAGTTGAAAGGGCAGGATGGTAGTGTGACATCTTACAGGTTTGGTGTATTGTTCAGCCAAAGGTGTCACATCTGATTGGTTCTGCTGTAATATGGACACTGAAAATTGCACTGAATCCGATGACAGTACCGCCTACATCATTAGATTCATTAGCATAGCAATAAAATCCATAATGCAAGGAATTTTTGTAGATAAAGACATGAACAATTTGTTTCACTAAAATGCCAACAATACCAGAATTATTTTGCAAAGTAGGATGTCAAGCCACACATCGAGTTAGGTATTCTCCCCAAGAAACTATTTCCTGGTTAGTTTTCGAGGGACACATTTTGTAAAGTTATGCTTCCCCTAGCCTATGTCTTAGCTTCATTTTAAAGTCAAATTTCAATTTTTCAAAGATTTCTGAAGGGTCACAAGGTTTTCCTCAAAAGAAATACCCCTATACTGGTTGAAAAACAACGGCTAAATGATAAATCACAGCATAGGGGAAAAGTCACAGCGTAGGGGGACCCTACACTCAAACAGCCTAGTGAAAACACTAGTTTGACTGGGTGCAATTGTAATTCATTTTCATAGCTGCCATACTCCTTGCTAACCAACTAGTCCACAGAAAACTAACTAGGATGGCACCAGGGACTTCCAGGATATAGTTCTCACCAAGCAAAGCAAACAAGCAAGAGTTCAGGGACTCCTGCTCTGTAAAAAGATACTTGAGATGTTTTCCCCGTTTCCTTTGGCAGGATGTCATGTCTGCCGGTTTAACGGTTGTAAGATGAGGTCACAGACCAATGTGACGGTTAGCTTGGCTTGTTTGGATGGAGTTTTTCCCGCTGATTCGCTCCCCATACACCCATGTAAACATGGACCTCCTATCCCATTGGGGTGTCAGACTGCACCCATGTCTGAGCAAACCTTGGCTGTATGTGGTTATGGCTGGTTTTGAGCAGCCCTGTGTGAACTCCATAGAGTATTTACCTAAGGCAAACAGAAGGTAGGGTTCTGCTACTAGTACTACTGCAACATGTGTTTTTGCAATGTCAAGCTCTGGTACGGTTGAACGAGTTGTCATGTGGTTTTTCATACTTACCATACTGTAGGTTTTCTGTCGTGATGATGCAATCCCCGAGTCCAAGCAGATGTTGTTGGATGGAAACTTTACAATCTTCTAGTTCTACCCCCAATGTCTGCTTGGAGATTACCAGTACTGAAAGCCCTCTGGGAAATTCCCACGCTGCTTTTGAAGTACAATTTATGTGTAACGCTGGAACCCAAATGATGAGTTGAAAGATGAAGTTTTGAAAATTTGATGCCGACATTATGAGAATGAAGCAGTAAAGCTGTATTATAAATACTAGTAAAGCATAGAAGAACCCTGGTATGGCCAGGGTTGATCCGTAGTGGATTTTATTTTAAGTACGTAAGTAACTTGGTTATCCAGGCAATGCAGTTTAGAACCTTGGCAAGCACTCAACTTTTACCCAGCCTCACAGGGAATGTACTTAGATCAGGACTGGAATATATGCAGGTGGTTTTCAAGCTGTGTCAAGCTTGGTTTCACACATCCCAATTAAGCTAATTAACGGTGTACAAAAACTGTACATATGTGTGTTGTACTGTGGCAGAAATATTGGCTTTGAGAGCTAAAATTTTGCACAAAGTTTCTCCGAATTACCAGTAGAATTTCTGATAAATTGCAAAATTCCAGTTAAAAAATGCATTTCGAACGAGTTTTTGTGGAAATATGCCTGTTCAGGACTCAGAATATCCTCCTGCCATCTGCAATTTCTAGATAAAAATGGAACAAATAATTTGATAGTTTATCTGTGGCCATTGTTGTGACTGAATATCGTGCAGTTGTCAAAATCAACCTGTCATCTCATTATATTATTAATACAGCACTGAAAGAGATAGATTATATGAAGTACATATACTACCAAAATGTCTCTCAGCTTTTCACCTTTCCATCCTACCAAAAACTGCTTTTCTATTATTTTGTTAACACTTCCTATTCATATATCTTGCAAATCGTCAGGCATTTCAATATAATTATTCTACTGCAAATAGAAAAGCCAGCAATAACTATACTAAAAGTACACTGTAGCTTTAGTAAATTTATTTTATGCTTCTAGTATTGTTTACTCTTATTTCATCATTTCCAGTGGACTTGTCTTCAGGCACGAATTTGCAATATTAATGTTTAATTAAAAGAAATGTGTTGCTCAAAATAGACAGGATCATCCCCACCCCCTACTGTTAATGTTTTTCCTGCTATCTTGTGTAAAATGTTTTCATGATGTTTTTCATTGCAGAAATAGATACAGGAATTAGGATTTATTCATAGTGTTAGCTCTAGCCTACTCTATTATCAGACAGGTGAGGTCCACAGTATTGGTTCCATTCATGTCCTAATTAGCATCAAATTACCCCTGCTGCTATGGGATGTATTATTGATTTTGACAGGGAGATGTTGGCTGTTAGTACATTATTGAAGGCACCCAATGCAATTTCAAAATGGCAAAACAGAAAACAGTATTCTGGATGAGGCCTAGAAAAAAAAATTGTGTTTCCTGTTTCCTGACTGACCCTAGAAAAAACTGCCGACCCCAGCTTTTTTGTGAAACCCTGCAAGGGACATAAATATTTTGAGCCGATTGACCATTCCTAGCTCCATGATCTGACAGCTGAGTGATCAAACGTTATGCAAGCCGTTTTCCAACATTGACGTTGAAAATAAAAGTGTCCTCATGCAGGTTTTGCTCTGTTAAACTGTATTATACAATTGGAG